TTGCTGAGGGCGCTGCCGAAATTTCTCCTTCTGCCAGGGATCCAGGACATCTTCAATGCTTGTTGCTAGGCAACAGTCACTGGCTCACCACTGTAACTTCCGGGGATGGCTGTGGCTTCCCCTCACCCATTCCCCCCCTCATCCCCCGGCATTTGGAATCCCCAATTTCAATCCCTATCAGTGCCACTATCTCCCAGGATTTTTTGTTTCTTTCTTTCTTTTTGAACTTTCGTGAATTTATTTGCGATAAACTGACAACATATACTGGGAAGCAAATTCTCAAATGCTCCTCACCTAGTAACAGCCAATCACCCCTTGGATCCTTATCTGTTCTCAACCCTTCAGAACCCCCAGAGTTCTAAAGTCATGGCACTCCAGAAGCTTCCTCCCAGTATGGGCTCACACAGTTTTATCCCTTGCATTAATAAACAAAAATCTCCATAGTGGCGTTGGCTGGTTTGGCTCAGTGGATAGGGCGTTGGCCTGTGGACTAAAGGGTCCTGGGTTTGATTCCAGTCAAGGGCACATGCCTGGGTTTCGGGCTTGACCTGCAGTGGGGGGCGTGCAGGAGGCAGCTGATTGATGATTCTCTCTCATCATTGATGTTTCTATCTCTCTCTTCCTCTCCTTTCCTCTGTGAAATCAATAAAAAAATATTTTTAAAAAATCTCCATAGTGTTCTAGATTTTCTGACAATTTCTCTCAGTTCTAGAATCATCAGCATTCCACACACATGTGTTCTGGATTCCCTGGCATGGAAAAAGCTATGTCAATATTCCAGATCTACAAGCATTACAAAATGCCTTCATATTCTAGATCCCCTGGTCCCTTAACATCCCAACCCACCTCCTATATTTTGACTTCCTAACATTCAAATATCCCCATGTTCTGAATGCCCTGGCTTATAAAAACATGCCCAGAGTTTAAGTATCATAGGCATTCCAGAACATTTTTAGAATCACTCACCTTTTAGACCTACCGTTTGTGTTCTAGATTCTTTGACAATCTAGAACCCCCACCATTATGGATTGCTTGGAATGCAAACTAACTCTCTAGTGGTCTAGAAAGGTTGACATTCCAGAATATACCTATGCCCTAGATTTCCTAGCAATCCAGATCTTTTCTGTTGTTGTTGTTGTTATTATTATTATTATTATTTCAGAGAGGAAGGGAGAGGGAAAGATAGACCTTCAATGATGAGAATCATTGCTCGGCCACCTCCTGCATGCCCTCTACCAGGGGTGGAGTCTGCAACCCAAGCATGTGACTTAACCAGGAATCAAACCGTGATCTCCTAGTTCATAGGTCGATGCTCAACCACTGAGCCATGCTGGCCAGGCTTCTGTGTTTTAGAGTTCTGAGCATTCCTAATCCCCAGCATGAAAAATATTCCTACTGATATAAATTCATAGGCATTGTAGAACATTCCCATTCTACAATTATTGACTTTCCAGGTCCTTCTGTCAAGAAACTTTTAGTCTGGATTTTCTGAAATGCAGGAGAGAACCCTAACATTGTTCATCCACTAGAACTCTAAAATATTCCTGTGTTCTAGATTCCCCAACATTCTAGACCCCTCTCACCATGTTACAGAAGCCCTGACATTCCAGAAACTGGGATTCTACAATTAGCATATCCTAAAATCGCTTGCTACTAGTCTGGCCCACTCTCTCTCCTCTTCATTGGTCCAAAGAAAAGACGCTGAAGATTTCCCTGAGGAGTTGCCATAGTAACAGGCATTATTTGGGGGAAATCCCAAGGATGTCCAGCTGGGCTGAGCTGAATCTGTCCCACATACCCTCTCAGGTGTGGGCAGAAAAGGGGCGAAAGACTGGGAAGACAGGGATGTGGGCCAGATGTTTGCAGTGGTGAGATTTTGGGTACAAATGTTAAGGATGTGGCAACATCTGTGTTTCTGCCAACCTGTAGCCATTCATCCCCACTTGTGGTAACAAAACCCTGATTCAACTTTCAGAAACTCCTCTTCTACTGTCAACATGGGCCTGAAGTCACCTCTTGGCTAGTGAGGTCACATGACCCCTGGAACAAGGGAAGACCTCCATCCACTGGCCATAGTGATTGGTTCAGGGGTGGGCATCTGACTCCACTCAAGCCAATGAGAATCAGTCTTGTGATTTTTGTGGCTGCGAGAGGAAATAAAGTTGCTAAGGAACTACCTGAAGTTATCTTGGCACAAGAGGGAAAAACCTGACTGAGAACCCCTGGATCCAGCCATGCCTGAAGCTGATGTGTAAACCTATACATTTCTTTGCTTAAAGCAGGAGTGACAGATGTCTCTGAATCTACAGCCTGGTTGGGCCCCATATCTCTCCCACCCTTTCCCTGGGGGTCCCCAATCCTCTAAGAATGTAAGCAAGGTGTTGGCAGTGAGAACTTTATTAGGAGAGGGTAACTTTGGCCCCAGAAAAAAGGGAGATAGGGGAGATCTAGTAACAGTGACCATTTCAAGGAGACCCTGGCCCTGAACCCAGGGCTCTGACAGGAAGCGGGCAGGCACCCGAGTCTCTAGGACCTGAGCATTCAAAGGCACGATGGCAGCTGTGTTCAGAAGGAAGTTTCATTGAGCTTCATCTTGGGGGGTGCAAGGGGAGCCCCAAGACCCGTGGAGGGCCGGGGGGCTGGTGTTGGTGGCCGTCGGGTCTCTGGCCCACTGCGAACCAGTTCCTGGCAGCGTTCCACAAAGCTGCCTCCCCCACGGCGCCGGGCCTCAGCCTGCGGGGGGCTGGGGCTCCCACGGCGGCCACACAGGGAGGTGTTGCTGGAAGCTGAGTAAAGACTGAGGGGTGCTGAGAGTCAATGCAGGCCATCGTGAGGCAGCTGAGCCAACCCCCCTCCCAGGCCACCATATTCCGTCCTCTCCCCCAGTGCACAGAAGGGGAAGTGGAGTCATGCCTACCTGGTGAGAGAAGTGCGGGGTGAGGGGCTGGGGAGAGAGCCCCTCGAGGAAGCCAGTGGGGCCAGGTCACACTGCTCCAGCTGTTCCATGAGCTCTTCCTCTGTCAGGCCACCTGCTGGGGGGCAAAGAAGCGAGGTCAGGGGGCAAGACAAGGATTACAGGGCAAGGGCAAAGGTCATGTGCAAGGATTGAGGTTGGGATAGCAGAAAAGATGCAGAGGTCAAGGGACAGGGGTCAGAAACAGAGGGATTGAAAAGCAAGGGCAAGGAGGAGTTGGGGGGCGGGGGGAGGAAGGGGCCAGAGGGTAAGGGTGTGGGGAGGGAGATTATGAGGAAGGAAGTTGGGGAGAAGCGTTCAGGGTGAGCTGGTGTGGCTTGCGACAGGATTGAGGTGGGGTGAGTAGTACCAGGGGCTTGGCCTAGCCCATCCATGGCAGTGGTCAGGTCCCACATGGCCAGGCTGCCGTTGGCCTGGCCAGTGAGCAGGTAGCGCCGGGGCCGAGAGCCAAGCCTTCGGGATCCCTCACACTCGAGCACCGTGAAGGCAGTGGTGGGCGAGCCATCCACGGAGCGCACGGAGCACACCCTGAGAAGGAAGGAGGAGGAGTCACCCTGGCCGCACCAGGGACTGGCCTGGCCCTTCCTGGGCAATCCCCAGTTATGGCTTCCGTTCCTGTCTCTCCACCCCAAGCATCTTCATCCTTCCCCAATCTGCTCTCTTGGGTTCTGGCCCTGGGGGCCTGCCTGCACATTCGCCAGGTGTCCCAAGGGGGCCTCAGGACTCTGCCTCAAACCTGCTGCTCCCTCTTCCCACCTCATGGAAGGCCAGAGTCTCATCCTAAGTGCCTCCCTCACCTTATTGCTGCCATGGCGGTTCTGCGTTGCCAGCATCTCTCCCATGGCCCTCCTCCCCGCTCGAGGCGTTGCCCTGTTCAAGCCCTGCCCTCTCAGCCAGGCACCTGTCCAGCCACCTTGCTGGGCTCTCAGCCTTCATACCACACTCCATTCCCTCCTCGTCACATATTGCCATGGCTCCCAGTACAAGGAGGGCAGGACAGACTCAGCATCTCATGTGTCCAAAAGGCCCCGGCCCCCCCGCAGCCATGGCTCACTCCGTTCTATATCCGGCCCC